TACCTCTGCCTCCTCTATTGCTTCTACCATGGAACCTTCCTCTACCTCTTTCATAACTGGAATTATAGGATCGTTGATTCTGAACAGTGTGCATAGGTTCAAGTGGAGGTCTCATAGCTGGTGATTCGGATCTTGAAGATTCCTTTGGATTAGTAGGTAGCTTTTGAACTACATTCACAGTCATTGAATCTGAAAGTAAAGTCTCATTTTGCCTTGCAAGCATCATCTCATATGACATCAACTCAACTCGTAGGTCAGTAAGAGAATAAGGATTCTCACGAGCTCTTACAGAAGTAACAAAAGAGTTAAACTCAGGAGGAAGACCAGCTAATATCAGTTCAGTTTGTTCCTCAACTTAGATAGGGCTTTTGATAGCTTTCAACTCATCACAAAGAGATTTCACTCTTTTGAGATATTCAGCAACAGATCTGCCACCTTTCTTGATGGTGCGAAGTTCAGATCTGAGTTGATGAGCTTTGGATCTCATCATACCTTGAAAAAACTTGTGTATCTGCTCCCAGGCCTCATACGCATGACTAACACCGAGTATCTCATTCAGAATTTCTTCAGAAACAGTAGAGAGGATCCATGACAGGAGCATCTGATCTTGTCGTAACCAGTCAGTGTACAATGGATTAACAGATCCATCAACACGAGCTTGCTCAGACTCGAACTGGAGCGGTATCTTCGGGTTAACAAGATAGTGATGAAGTTGATGAGAAGTTATTACAGGTTCTACAACCTGATTCCAGATGAGGAAGTTACTTTCAGTCAACTTGATGGAGATCTGATGAGTAAACAGTGACGGAGAAGACGATCGAGTCTCTGTCGCTCCACTTCCGGTGGTTGCTCCGGTAGCTGAAGACGACGGAGATGGTGGTTGCGAAGCGGAAGACATCTTAGTGGATCGATCTGTATCAGGCCCTTAGAGAGAGGGCTCTGATACCATCAAAGAAATCAGAGAGAGAGAAGAGATGAAGAGGGAGAGAGAATGAATAGTATTTTTCACTTCTTTGAATAGGTGTTACACGATAGACTATATAGACACAGCAACTATTGCCACGTCATCCAGTTCAGTTACAACTATAATCAGTTTTCTAAAACTGAGAAGATTGCTAATTACAATAATGACCTTTGTGTACAGCTGTACACCTTTATCTATTCTAATATTGTCTAGTGAGGTAGAGGCATGAACCTAAGCTCAACAGGTGAGTCATTGCAGCTAGGTCTCAGACGAAGTCTGAGAATTGGGGGAAAGTGTTGGGTACGGTGGCTCTTGAGGCTGTATTTCAACAGAGTTATAGCAAGGTGAGTAGGTATGTAATAGGTGTCTCTTAAATGGCCGAAGAGAAGTATATATAGATGGAGAAGATTCTCCAATGATGAGTGAGTGAGTTGTATCGTTTTTAGCCTTCTGGGCCCTATTAGGTGTGAGGCAAGTATCCTCACTTGGTGCATGAGGTGCGTGTGCATGGTGAGTGAGATTCAGTATGGTGAGGTAACATTTGTCTCACTTTAAAGATGCATGGGTATGACCCCTTATTCGATGAAATAAAACAATTGGGTCATAAGTGCATTTTGATAGTCTATTTGGCAATATTATTACACTTTAGTTTTCTTGGATCTTATGTGATATGTGAAATACCTTTATTCAAACTAATTGGGTTCGGTAGCAAATAAACCCAAATGAAAATTGCGAAAAGATTGAAGTAAAAATGATAAAAATTAAAAAATATAAATAACACTAGAAATTAAAAATTAGCAATGAAAAATTACAAAGAAAAAAGAAATAAAATGAAATGAAAATAAAGATACATAAGAGAAAAAAGAAAAAAAGGAAAGAACATTAAAATAAAAAATTTAAAGGAATAAAAATAATAAAAATAAAGAAATAAGAGGGAATAAATAAATAAATAAATAAAATAAGAAAAATATAAAAGAAAAAAAGAGAAAAAATAGGGAGAGGAAAAAGAAAAGGGAGATATAGAAGAAAAATGGCTAAAAATGAACTATTTGGAACATAGAAATAAAAGCAGGTCTAACCCTCCACAATACTAATAGCTAACCTCTAATTTTTCTTAAGAACACTGTCTGCCAATCTATAGCTCGCTCCATCAAGTCTTGTTTTATTATCTTTCCCCAAGTAAGTTTCGGCCGATTTCTTCCTCTCTGAGACAAGAACTTGATAATGAACTTCTGTTTTTACAATAGCATCTAGGTGACTTCGTATTATGTCCCTAAACCACCTCAATCTATGTTTTCTCATCTTTTCAACCACCGATACTACTTCCACTGTATTATGCATCTTTTTTATTTTATTTTTTCTGTTTATACCAACCCAATCAAATGGAGCCACCCACTTCAACTCATTACCAATTCCAATGGCCACATCTTTAGCCACGCCAATATTTTTGTTTTGGCCTGAACCAAAGTCGAGCTTTAGTTTGTGGGTCCAACTGCCACTGTCATCCTTGCATTTACATCTCTATTTCACTGTCAACTTTGTTACCATATTTACCTTTTTCATCTCCATTCCGCTATTTACGCAACCGCAACCTGCTATAGCACTATAGCGTTTTTAAGGGTTGGCCGCAACAGGCTGCAATCCGCTTTTAACTACTATGCTCCTACCTTTCGTCGAATATCTTCATATTGTCTTCTTCATCCTTGTTTGATCACACATTCACCTTAACATCCTCATTTCCTCTACTTTCATTTTATGCTTATGTTGCCTATGTGCTTGCTAACATTTAGCTCCATGTAACATTGCGGGTTTTACGTTCTATAGAACTTTGATTTTAGTTTAAGAGGAATTTTACGGTCACGCAAAATCCTTGATGCACTATGCCATTTCATCCACCCTGTTGTTATTCTATGATTTACATCTTCATCAATCTCTCCACCCTTTTCCAAGTTTGATCCCTGGTATCGGAAAACATATTTTTTGAGTACCTATTGTCCAAGCAAATACATGGAAACTTGATCTCCATCTCTTTCCGGAGCTAATTCACGCTTCATGTACTCAATTTTGCTCCGACTTAGCATGAGTCCTTTTAATTCCAACTTGTTTCTCCACAATTCTAGTTATTTGTTGACATCAGCATTGGTCTCAACAATAAGCACAATATCATCTACAAATAGCATTCACTATGGCACTTCATCTTTGATATCTTTTGTTAGTTCATCTATAATTAGAGCAAAAATATAATGACTCAAAGCAGTGCCTTGGTATATACCTACCGTGATAGGAAAATAACTTGATGTTCCATTATAAGCACTCACACTTGTAGTAGCACCATCATACATATCCTTGATTGCCTCTACATACTTTGGTGATACTTTTTTCTTCTCAAGAATCCACCATAGAACCTTTCTTGGATCCCTATCCTATGCTTTCTCAATAACTATAAACACTATATGTAAGTCCTTTTTTCTTTTCACGATATTTTTCTATTAATTGTTGTATCAAGAAAATAACTTCTATGGTATATTTTCCTAGCATGAACCCGAATTGATTTATTGACCTTGGTTCGTCTTCTCAAGCGATGTTCAATAACTCTTTCCAACAACTTCATAGTATGGCACATAAGCTTAAAAAGCTTAATGTCTTTTAGTTAGAACAATTCTGGATATTTTCCTTATTTTTATAAATAGGCACTGGCGTACTTATCCTTCATACAACAAGTATCATATTAGTTTGGAGAATCTTATTGAAAATATTTGTAAGCCAACTATTTGCCATATCCCCCGAGCCTCTCCGCACTTCTATAGGAACACTATCAGGTTCCAAAACTTTAGTAGTCTTCATCTTCTTCAATGCCTCCTTAACTTTATGCGCTTTGATTCTACGTACAAGCCTTATGTTCAAATTATCATAAGCGTCCTCCAAATCTAGCTCACTTTTATCACTATCCTCTTTAAAAAACTTGTTAAAGTAGTTCATCCGCCTTTCTTGAACTTCTGCATCTCCTGTAAAAAAAAATAATTTATTTTGATCCTTGATACATCTAATCTTAGTAAAGTCTTTACTTTTCTCATCTCTTGTCTTTCCTAGTTTATAGATACCTTTTTCACCACTCTTGCTCCCAAGATTTTTGTACAAACCAGGGAAAACCTTGCCTCTAGCCTTTTGCAATGTTTGTTTAGCATTTTTTATCGTTCTTTTGCAAGTTCTCATTATTAGAACATTTATGCAAACATCTAAAGCAGTGCTTCTTCTGTTTAGATTCCTCTTGCACCTCTTAATTTCACCACCAAATTTCCTTTATTTGAAATTCATTTCCTTTGCTTTCTCTAAACAAGCCCCTTCCCTCTTTTTGGATATAAAGCCATCTCATTTCACATTTCATTTGCTTCCCCAATATACGGCCATGGTCCCCGTCATGAAGCATTTTTTTCTTGAACTCTGTTTTTCCTTCCCTAGCTTCCACATCTTATTCTTAAGTTCTAAGCATTCTTCCGCATTTTATATACTTGTTCAACTGAACTTCTAAAACTACCAACTTATGTTAAGTAGCTACACATTCTCTATGGTAGACTTATTAGTCAACGCAAGAGGTTCTATCATCATTAACTTCATTCTGATAAACGTCACTTTTAATTTTCTTTTATATTGTTTATAGCAGGCTTCTTTTTATCTGTATTCTGTTATGAATGGAGGTCTGTCGAGGGTGCTTACAAGGTCTTTATGAGCCTCGGGGAGATAAGTTGGATTGTTGTTGTAGTTAAACCAGGCATATGGTTGAAAATGATTTTTAATTTTTAATAAACTGTCTTGTATGTAATTATGCTATAATATTCAATCTTGTCAATTGTCATTGATTAGTTTGTGTGATATACAAATTTTCCTCCATTAATATATTTTCTTTATCATTGAGGTTAGGCTATTCATTTTTCTGTCTTCTGACTTGTCAATATTTTTTTCCCTTCAGATTTATCTCTTTATGTTTGTGCCTTACTTTCATTTGTGCTAATACTATCTCTAAACTTGAACCCTGTAGATTTATGAACGATTTAATGTTGACTCAATAGTAGATGCTGATGATGCCCGTTTTGATTATTTTGTTGAGAAGGTATGTATTTTTGATTGTGGCATTGAAAATTTCATATGTTCAGTTGAAGTAATTTTGAAAAGCTTATTGTCAGTTTTCTGGTAATTTGCTGTCATTGCTAATCTTTGTTGTGTAATTTGGCTCAAGTCAGATGTCAAATAAACATAATTTTGTAACCTGAGGCTGAAAATCATTACTTAAACCTATATTCAGCCTAGATGACGAACTTTCATCTGGATATTTATGATAGTGTACCATTCATGTTTTATCACCTAACATGGTATCAAAGCTTTTATGGCCAGTGGTCTAGAATTCGATCTTTGCTGCCTTATTCTTCTAATAAATAAGTTAATTTCAGTGCAAGGTAGGTGGATCTATGTATTGTCCACGCTTCAAATGTAAAGGTCTCTTGCATATGGAAGTATGTTAGATATGTTATATAAAACCATTCATATATGTTCATGCTAGTATGTAGATACACTATCCCAAAGTCCTGTATACATGTCTAGTGAATAATTTTTTGCCATATGCCCTTCTCATTTTTAATTTTTTTTTTTTTGGAGATATTCTAATCGGTTCATCGCTTCGCAACTAGTTTAATTTGGGGCGGGTCCCGGGATTAAGGCTTTAAACTCCTCCCAAAAACGGTACTGGGGATGATCGAACACATGCTCTCACCTCTACTTGCTCAGTTTCCTGGCGCCAACTGAGCTACCATCGTTTGGTGATGCCCTTCTCATTTAGTCACTCGCTTCTCACATTCTAATTCATTTCAACCCAAAACATCCTTTCTTCCACCTTCAATTTTATGAGCCATAGGAATTTATATAATGTGGATTTTTTCCACTCAATCTAAGGTTCCCTAATAGGCCACTGTTGCAGTGAAGTGGTTTTAGTTTTGAATGAGAATTCAAGTCTTCTTGTACTATAGTTGCGATTTTAGCCATAATAGATTAGACTAAGAAAAATAAGAAAAATGAAGTGATTAACTAAAGTCAGGTAACTGTCTTTTACTATTGGGATCAGGTAAAAACTGCAATTTTAAGAGTCAAGCAATTAAAAAAGATATAAAGAAAGGGATATGATATTATGCCTACCTTTTTTTATGTCTACTCTACCTACTCCTCTTCAACATCATTAGATCAGAATATTAACAGGAGAGAGAAAGGGTAAATGTTAGTTGAGATTCTGATCTAATAGTAGTAAAGAGGAGTAGGTAGAGTAGGCATAAAAAAAAAGTAAACATAATATCCTATCCCATAAAGAAAATGGCAAATGTACTAAAAAAAATAGAAAATGGCCAAAGTTCTTTATTTTTCTTTTAGTTGCAGTTGTTTGAAATTGTTCATTTTCTTTTGAAACTTTAGATTAAACAAGATCCACAAAAGAGGACTACACAGAAAAAATACATAGCAATTGGCAAAAATTATCAATGGAATGGGGTTGGTATTATCTCAGGACAAAGAATCTGTGTTTATTGTGATGTCCATTTAATTACTAACATCAGGGTACCATTGCTTTCTTTCTCTGGTTGAATGACTCTAAATTCACTCATTCTTATTGCTTTGCGCTGCTATGCCTTAGATATCTTCTTACTGGAGATATTATATGGCATATAGCAAAAAGGTTTTATGTTTTATGCCATCATTATATATAAAAAAACCATTCCAATGAAACCCCGACTATGCCATCGATGTAATAAAATACAATTTTGATTTGTAATCAAAATAAGTAGACTACAATAGTTAAATCCTTAACCATAGTAATGTCACTAATGAGCAATAATTTTTTTATTGGCTTACAGAATTTGTCATTATACATTTGCTTTTAAGGATGTAGTTAGTGACATTTTAGACAAGAAAAGAAACTCGTTTTTCATCTATAATGTTTTCCCTGCATCTCAACTGTCTTTATATGTGTCTAGCGGCACATCCATGTCATAACTCAATCTCACCTTGGTAGATGTGAGAAAGTCTTGTTTATTTCTGTATCCTCTTGCGGAGTTCATCTGCTTAAAAATTGTCAGCAAAATACTTCTCTTCAATTTCTTTAAATAATCTCCTCAGGTTGTTCAAAAAGTATTTATGATTACATGCATGTTATTACAAATTTTATGACAGTCATATTATCTCAATCATTCTTGTTGTGCAGGTTTTCCCAAGAATAAAAGATTCTGATCAGGTTATTTTTTTTAAAACAAAAATTCATTTTCTTCTAGTGTGTGCTTGTCATAATTTAAATTTATATACTAATAATTTTCTTATTGATGAAATCTTTGGTGCAGGGAGGGATCATGTTATTTATCAGTTCTTACTTTGAATTTATTAGAATCCGAAATTTTTTAAAGTCACAGAATGCCTCCTTTTGTCTGCTTGGGGAGTAAGGAGCCAATCCTATTATTATGCCATTTTTGTTCTTATTTTAATCGTGCTATGATTATTTAATCAGAACTTCATAGTGAAATTTTGCAAATACTTACAATTTAGCTCTTATGCTATGTTGTGATTATAAGTGGTCTTTTTTGTTAATTTAGGTATACAACCCAAAGCGATGTTTCTCGTGCACGTCTTTGGTTCTATGAAAGAAGAAGGAAAATTATGCTTTACACTGAGAGATCTCATTTTTACCACAGATATAAGGTTGTATATGCCGGAATAATTATTTTCCTTTCCTGTTGTTATTTTCTCTGGGATATAATAGCTGTATGTTTTGTTAGTTCTCAAAGAATGAAAATGTATGAACTTGCTGCCTGCTGGTCATTTGTGAAGTTTATGACATGCAGTACCAAAAACATTGAAATTGATTCCATTTAGAATGGTAATTATATTACACGAAATAAACAATTAAAGTTAGTTGAATTAATAGGACTGTATATACTCTAGTCCCCAGTGTTCATGATAGCCCCGACAGAAATTTGTGTAAGCGTAGTTTATGTTGTGAGGACTGAAATTATGACTGACATGGAGTGTTACTCTCCTCCTCTATCATATTATTATTAATACAAATATTGACCTATTTAATTTATTTCTTGATGGCAGATTCGCGGGGTTCAGAATTTAATCATTTATTCGCTCCCTAAGAGGAAGGAGTTTTACCCTGAGGTAAGCAGACTTGTAAAGTAGTGTTAGGGATATCATAAAAAAAATGTTAAGAGAAATATGATATAAATCATAAGACCATTAATGTGGTCTTCACCTAACAACTTAAATTTTTGGGTTGAATTGGTTCTTTACATAGTACTATAGTTTTTGTGACCAAATGGTCACGAGTTCGATTCTTACTGTCTCTCGTTCTATTAATAAGTAATTAAACATTGTGTAGTTTTTGTACACAGGTAAGTGGGTCTGTATATAATTCATCCTTTAAGCCCAATGGACTCTTGTATGAGAGGGCGTATTAGAGAAATATGATATAAAATATAAGACCATTAATGTGTCTTCACGTTACCATTTAAGCCTTTGGGTTGAATTGGTTCTTTATACGGTATTAGAACTTCTGTGACCAAATGGTACTTTACATGGTATCAGAGCATCTGTGACTAAGTGGTAATCCTCATTGTTCCCTATTTCATTAATAAATAATTAAATATTATGGAGTTTCTTAACATAGGTAGGCGAGGATTGTGTATTGTCTACCCTTCAAGCTCAATGTGCTTTTGTGTGAAGGAACATGTTAGAGAAATATAATATAAAACCACTAACATGCCCTTCACCTAACAACTTAAGCTTTTGGATTTAATTGATTCTTTACATAGTTTCAGAGCCTTTTTGATCCTCACGTTAAACTTTCAAGAAAGTTAGTTTATGACATGGTATGAGAGCTTTTATAAGCAAGTGGTGTAAAGTTCGATCCTTCTTGTACCATTCTTCTAATAAAATGTTGAATTTCAGTACTAGATAAGTGGGTCTTTGCTTTGTCCACACTTTAAGCTTAAAGAGCTCTTGCATGAGGTGGCTTGTTAGAGTTATAATATAAAATCACTCATGTATTTTTATTGAACAACTTAAACTTTTGGGAAAGTTGGTTCATGATCATGACAAGTAGGGTATTTTTCTCTCGCAAAATAATTCACTAAGAAAGGAAGGAGTATAAAAATGATGGAAGAGGAGTTGTAAGGCTACAAAGAAATTATACAGGAAAGGAAAAAAAATGCTTCAGCTCAAAAGAGCAATTTAGTCCCTTTGCAAGTCCAACCTTGAAAATAGAAAATACCAATGTTTGAAAACCCACTAGGAAGCTGAGAGTACAAATCTGTCCCATAAAAGGTGTAGAGGAAGAAATTTATAGCCAAAAGTTTTGGAATTATGCTCCAGCCAGATCCAACAGATTCCTCCAAAAAAGCACAACCAATAAACACCTTATTAATTTAGCTTTTTTTCTAATCTGTGTCTATAGTCTATGCTTTTGAGAATAAATTTAGTTCATAGCTTCTTTTTTATATTGAAATAAATTTGCATCAAAATGGTATTCTCATGTTGTCCTTGTGAGTGAAAACATAATCCAGAATCTTAAATCTTCTCTTTTTCATTGATACCTCTCTTTTCCTGTTGCAGATTGTGAATATGCTTGATGGGTCTGACAATATGACATGCACTGCCCTTTTTTCTTTCCTTGACAAGCCTCGGGTAATACTTTATTCTCTTTGATGTCCCTTTAGTATTATGCTAATTGTTGGAATGTATAGTGTGTGGGTTTATATTAGTATTTGAATGGAAAGGTTATGGATTCTAGAGAGGGAGAGATAAACGGAAAGCTTGGGATTTAATGGCATAGTATCTTGTTGCTTCCTTATTTATTTTCTTACTGCTACATTGTTGACTTGAATATGCTGGCCTATATATTGGCTTTTCACCTGCAAACAGCTCAAATGACTTTGTCCATCTAGAGCTATCAGATTTATTTATTTATTTTTCAGTAAAAACTTTTCATTGACAAATGCTGCACATATTTTTTCTTTAACTTGTATAATTGCTTGGACCTTCTGGATATTTTCTCTCATACATAACGTGCCTATGGATTGTAGCATTAATAGTATGTTAGGTGTTGTATGGAGTTTACAACATGCAGGCCTTTGATTCAGGCGAAGAGAATTAATATTATGGTGACATAATTCATTGTTAGTTTTGTTAAATTAATGGTGGTCTTAATTGAATGAGAAAATTTTAATTGGCTTTTCTCAGTGGTTGTCTAATTCTTGTTGGTAAATTAAAAATGATCATGAGTGTACTTTTCTGGGACAAAGGGTCTAAAGAGGTGTAGGGTGGCAGCGGTACATTAAGGTGGTAGCTATGACATTTCATGTACTTTTGTTTTCTGCTGGAGGATAATAGTCTTTTGCAGTATTCGTTAATATTATGTACTGCTAGTCCTGTAATATTATTTTCCTTTTGCTTTTCTCCCCTCATCATAATTTCTACCTATACTTTCATTTTGGGATTACATTTCAGCTGGAAAGAATTGTTGGAGCTACTCCAGCGAAAAGGATGGTGGCTGCGGAAAAAGGTGTTTTTGTTTTTTGCCATTAGAATTCTTCTGAACTCCAAGGCTGTAACCATGTGAAGTAACTAAAGTAGGTGATGGTGGTGGTATCGTGGATTTATATGCCTTTGACGCCAAGAACCTCTTGAAATTTGAAGAAGCACTGCCTCTGCAGAACAAAAATCATGGAGGAAACATGTAAATGTAGTTTGAGTCGGTTATAATTTAGAATTACCAGCGTCAATCATGACAATATATTTAAAGTTTTTTTTTTTTTTTGGGGTAACTTATTGTTTATTGTAACGGAAGAAATTAATTGATAGGTGTTTCTTTTTGTTTGATAGGACAACGGGCAAAAGCTCACATGAATTGGTAGCTTTCGAAAATATTAAAGAGCTGCTAAAAAAATGTTTTGCTAATAAGAAAAGAGCGTAGCTATAAACATATCAGTGATTTTGTTAGAACTTGGCTCAATGGGTAGGACTAAACATTACTGGCATTTGCATTTCTTGACATTGGAACATGCAACCTTTTGTCACTTATATTTCCCCTTCATTTACTAGCAAAATATGTTTTTATTATAATGCTGGTTTTAAATTTAGTAGACTTTAATTAGAAATATTATTTTGAATTAAAAAGTAAGTTAATTGCAGTCTCTCCTCTCAAATTTTTCAGTTCAGTTTTTGTTCAAAAGCCTATAGGTCGATAAGGTTATATACAGTTTTAGATCTCGTTTGTAGTTTTGTACGGCGGATATACCCACAGTTTTTCTGGATTTTCATTTTTTGGCTATTGGGCATGGAGCCCTTCAGAGGGTCTCAGAAAATTTACTTCAGATATTATAGAAGTATTAATACTTTTTTAGATTGTTATATCTTATTCGTGCTGACGGGTATGTATTATTGGGTATGGTCCATACTTCGTATATTGATAAGGGTTTTTATTGGCGGGGTTAGCAAAATGACAATTGGGGTTTCACTCTGTCTTATTATAATATTCTTTTTCTTAGTAATTTGGGTTTGTGCTTATGAATAGCTATTGTTAGGGTTTTTTAAATCTTATTAATATTTTCTTGTAAACCAAGTGACTTATAACGAGTGACAGTGAGTTGAATATAATATAGACAAGAGTGACAGTGAGTTGAATATAGTACAGACAAGCTGAACGTAGCCTACAATGGGTGAACCAGGGTAAATTATTGTGTCAAATTTCTTTTCCCTTTCTCTTTTGTTTTCAGATTTGTATGATTGTCAATTTTTAACAATTGGTATCAAGAGTTTTTGTTCTGCAATTGGGGTTCCTGTGACGGATTGAGGTTTTGTGATTTTGGATTTTTTCTTGGCGTATAGAAAACTACGAAAATGATCTGGGAAGGATGTCAATTGGACAATCACGGATCGAGGTTGAAAAGTTCGAAGGAAAATCGTTCAAATTATGGAAACTGAAGGTGGAGGTGTTGCTCGTCGACAAGGATGTATGGTATGTGATTGAAGATGAAAAGCCATTTGTACCTGTTGGTGATGGAACATCAAAGGTAGGCGAGTCAAAGGAGTTGAAGGCGTGGACCAGAGACGATCGATAAGCGTGAAACCTGATCTGGTTATGCCTGACAGATAATGTTCTCGTGAATGTAACTTCTGAGAAGATCGTGAAGGATCTCTGGACAAAGCTAGGGAGCCTCTGTTAAAGCAAGTCACTTGTAAGCAAGTTGTTCTTGCGAAGGAAGCTGTATAATTTGTGGATGAGCGAAGGTGATTCTTTCTCTGCTCATTTAAATGAATTTAACACTGTTTGTGCGCAACTTTCATCTACAGATATAAATATGGATGACGAAGATAAAGCTTGCACCTTACTGTGTTCACCGCCAAACTCTTGGGTACACATAATTGTTTCAATCGGTACTGACGTTAATAAACTGTCGTTTGAGACGGTTGTTGCAGCTCTATAGTCTGAGGAGATGATAGGGTAGGTTATGAAGGTACCAGTAATGAGGCTCTGGTTGTTCGAGGGAGAAGTGGTGACAGATCGAAGTCTGGTTAGAAAGGAAGATCGAGGGACAATCAAAGTCCCTGTGATAAATCCGAAGTAAGGTGCTAGAGGTGTAAACATGTTAGACACTTGAGGAGGAATTGCAGAAATAAAAGTGTCGGTCCTCCTAAGAAGCGGGACGATCCACCACCTTGGTTGTGAAGGTTGTGCATAATGAGAGATGATTGTTGGGTGTGACAGTCAGAGCGTCATTTTCTTGGCTAGAACCTATGTTTCCTTGTGAGGACCAAGCATATCGACATGTAGTACCATTTCATCAGAAAGACGTTTGAAGACGAGGTTGTATTGCTGGAGAAGATTGACACAAAGGTCAACAATGCTGATTTTTTACTAAGACAGTGACTTTAGAGAAGTTTGAATGGTGTATAGCTACATTGAGATTGAAGAAACATGCGAAGCATTCACCAAGTAGGAGAATGTTGGGTATGGCTCATACTTCACATATTGTTGAGGGCCTTTATGGCGGGATCAACATAAAGACAACTGGGGTCCCGCTCTGTCTTATTATAATTATCTTTTTCTTAGTAGTTTGCCCTTGAGCCCATGGATAGCTACTGTTAGGATTTTCTAAATTCTATTTATGTGATTGTTCGATCTTATTTTATGCTGCTCTGCTATGCTAGAGAGCCTATAATGATTTTGTTCGCAATAGATCCCATAAATATCCTTAGTATTAGTATGCTATGATGCACGGACACGGACACGGGACACGACACGACACGCCGACACGTTAATTCTAAAAAATGTCATATTTGGACACGTTGGGACACGTTTTGATATTAAATAAAATTTTTAATATAAAATATAATTTATGTTTAATACATACAAAAATCCATAATAAATCATATAACCAATTAAATAATCCCATATTGAAGTTGACTAGTCCATTTAAACTGAACAAAGAATCTTGCACATAATCTTTTCAAATGAGAATCAAACATGAATAATTGAAGTTCCCAAGTTGAGATTGAAATTAAACCCAACAAGCCGGGTTGCGAATTTAGAATAATTTCATTCCCAATTTTCAATTTAGCATAATTTCTGTGTGTTTGTTTCGGCATCATATTCAATATTTAAATCCCCAAGAAGTAAACCCATTGCACAATTTTACTGCCCTTAAACTTCAGTCCCTCATCCTGCTTAAAAAAACAAACAAACAATTACCATAAGAAGAAAAACATAACAAAGATAACAAAACCTCACGCTTTGTTCGATTTCCTACGCAGGTAACCCATTAAAAAAATTTACATATCGAAATTCAAAAATTACCGAAAAACCACATTTCAACAAGTACCTTGTTTGGAATTTGAATAACGAAACCCTAAAGACCAAAGGTTTAAAACATAGATGAGAGAAACTATCGCAATAAAAAATAAATAAAAATTAAAAAAGTACCGGTGAAATGGTGGGCGGCTGGGCGCTAGTGAGAAGATTGTAATCTGCAGAGCAAATTGAAGCAACAAAAATTCGGAGAAGGATCAAAATTGCAGAGAAGAAGATAGCGATAACCTAAGAGCGAGAAACAGAGAGAGAGAAGGTTGTTTCGGATTATACCGTTTGAAGTAACGAAAAGAAGACACACCAACCACGTGGGTGGGCGTGATGGTTCAGCATCTCGTCCCTTAAGCAAGTGGTTGGGGGTTCGAACCTCAACTCTTGTGAATGGAAAGCATTCCGTGGCCAGCTCTTTACCGCTTTGTGTGCTGACCCGGGGCGAGGGATTAGTCTCATGGCTATCGGCTGTGAGGATACCCGGATGTAATCCAAAAAAAAAGAAAAGAAGACACACCACAACGTGTCCCAGACTTTCTGATTTTTTTTAAATTTTTGTATTTTTTTTAATTGTAATTTTATTTTATTTTTACAAAAAAAATGCAAAACGTGTCCCAAAACATGTTCACATACGTTGATCGCGTGTCGGATACGTGTCCGAACGTGTCCGTGTCGAACACGTGTCGGACACACATTTTTTCTCAAAAAAGACGTGTCCGTGTTTCTTAGTTAGTATGTATTAGGTGAATCAAACGTATCAACCTTGACGCATTTATGTGTGTGAGGGGCCCAATTCTTGAATACAATCGGCTTTTAGAGGATTGATGAGAATTGCAAAAACTATTATAATTTAAGTGTCTATCCATAATCCATATTTCACATTTTACATGTAACAACTATTTTCTAGTGATAATCATGCCATTTCTCAGATTGTGCACATTTAAGTGAAATTAACTATTTTTTAATTCACTTTTTTTCTAAAAGGTTAATCATATTAAAACCAATCGTATAACATGTTAATTATTATTGGAGTTAATCGTTTGTCAATAAATTGATCATTTATTACTTAATTTGTCCATTAATACAAAGGGAAAAGTGTTTGTGAAATTAAATGACAGAAAGTTATGTCATTTTAAGAAAAATATAGACACAGAAAATTTGAATTTTAAATTAAAAAATTCACCCACTTTCTCTCTCCCATGATTTTCGTTTTTCTGTGTCTATCTCTCTCCTAAAATGACATAACTTATGTCATTTAAAATGACAAATACCAAACCCTAATAGAAATGGTTTATATGAATTTAGTGATTGACTTTAAATATGAGTAAAATTAAGTGGTCATACCCTTCAAGGTTATTAAATGTGGCGCAATTGGTGCTATTCTGCTACCGCAGCGGATTATGTATTGTGGAGGCTTGTCGCAACCGGCCGCACCGCAACAGAGTAGGTAAGTGTTGCGGGCAAATAACAGTGTGATATGATGCAATTGCACCGCAACAGTTAAATATCATAAAATTTCATATTTGTTCTCATTTTTAATTTGTAACAACTAATTTTGAGGGGTGTTTTGCTCTTTTATCTAGGGTTTAGTGACAAACCCTTGACCCCCTCTCTTACTCTATCCCTAACTTCCTTTGTCTTTCTCTATTTCTCTATTGTTTCTGGCTTTCTGCATCTCTTTTCCTCTCGTTTTTATGTCTCTTTCTCATCTTTGCTTCTCTTTCTCTTTCATCTCTCTTGTCGCTTATCAAAACATGTGCATTTCTCTATCTCTTTATTTCTCGTCTGTGTGGCTCTGCCTCTTGTTCTCATCTATCTTGTTGCTTAACAGAACGTGTACATGTTTTGTTATTCTTTTTTGATATATTTCTGGTACTTATTTTTTAAATATATTTTTATTCAGAATCATTGTACTCGTACTAATTTTTTAGCATATTCTATATTAATTTATCGTACTTAATACTATGTGTTTGTTGAAACATCCTTCGATTATTAACCAAAGATGTTACTTTTTTATTCCAAAATATCAAAGTACAAGAAATTAAATCAACATAAAGTATTAAGTAACCTTTACAAAACACAAATATTGTAACCAAAATATAATTATGGT